ATTATATTATTTTGTAGTTATATCTCCTTGATTTTTTTGACAACCGGACCAGCAATGCAATAGTAATGACAAGGCGTAATGGTTGTGCGAACTAAACAAGGAAATAAATAATGAAGCGAACGTACGGTTTTCCGATTTTAATTTTCTGATGAATTTTAATTCTTCAGTTAATGATTGAATAAGCTCATGGCGAGTTCTACGTCAATAAAATATCCGTAGAAATTTCCCTGTGGTAACGTTAAATATTTCAGCTTAACAAAACTAGAAAGACTCGTAATCATTTCACGGTTTTCCTGTTTTAATTTTTTTTATAAATATTAGTTCTTTAGTCAATAATAATATTTGAGCTTAACTACTTCAACAAAATCTTGCAATAACAATCATAAATATGAATGCTGGTCGTTAGTTAAAGAAGTAAGGGGGTACAAATGAAAAGATTTGAAATTAGCATGAGAAGATTTCTAGTGGATATAGTCAACCTACGAGCAGGGAATTTTAATTCTTAAGTTGATTGAAATAGTTCCTGGCTGGTTCTTTGACAATAAAATATCCGTAGAAATTCCCTTATCGCATCTTTAAATATTTGAGCTTAACAACTTTAACAAATATTTCAATAACAATGATCATAAAAGCGCATGTCATTCTGCTTGTACCTCCCTTCTCGGACTTTTGGCTAATATCAAAGTGTAGTATCTGTTCTCATCAGTTTCATCTGATTCTCTTTCTTTCTCTCTCCCGCCAATTGTAAACAGGATTTAAAAAAAAAAAACAGAGAAAGAGTCGTGAAAATTTCACGATGAAGCCAATTTGAATTTTCTGATGAATCTTAATTCTTCAGTTAATGATTGAATAAACTAATGGCAAGTTCTGTGACAATAAAATATCCGTAGAAATTCACCTATCGTATTGTTAAATATTTGAGCTTAACAACTTTAACAAAATATTGCAATAACAATCATGAAGATTGAAAAATGGCGACATTTGACATTTTACTGAAACATACTTTAAACACTTCTATCGTCTCTCTTCTTTTTTTCCTTTCTTTTTCTTTTTTGTATTTCTGTCCAGCTTCTTTCTTTCTTTCTTTTTCAGTCTTTCTTTTCTTTCTTGAGTTAAAGGGAGATAACTGATGCTTTTTTCTACTCTTCCTTCTTCCGCGTGAATTTAAGCGTGCTACTAGGTTGGCATCTCGGTTCCACCCTTTTCCTGTCGAAACAGTTAAATATAACCGCCTCTTCTACTCCAACAGCTTCTACTCTCGCACTTCCAGACAGTGGAACGCCCTTCCTCTTACTTGCTTCCCTGAAAACTATAATCTTCAAAAATTTAAATGTAATGTCCATCGACATCTTCTGACGCCTTGATCTTGATCCCCGTCCTTCTCTTCTTTCCTTAAACAACCATCTTTACGCTTACTTTCAAACTCTGTAATCCCTTGCGGGCTAGTGGAACTTCCATCTTGCCTGGGGTGAAATGCTTAAAGAAAAAAAAAGTGTCTGGTTGATGTTCATACCATCTCTCAGTGGTTTCGATTTTGTGCTTCTTGCATATCTTCCAGTGCACATATGTCGCTACCTGGTTATATTTGTGGGGATAAAATAAAAACACGAAATAAAATAAAAATACAAAATAAAATAAACATAAAAATCTCCCAGGAGTCCTCTGACAGGAAAGACAATTTACGCATGTGCAAAGAGAGAGATTTCCTGGCGCCAAAAATAAACTAGAAGAATCTATCTCTTTCTCTGTTGGACCTTTGACTGGTGAACACGTGCCAACTGTTCGGGAAGGAAATTCCCCAACAAGAGGTCGTTGGAATCCAAAAGAAGGAAATAAAATCAGTGTCCTAAACTGTCCCTCTAGTGTCTCCGTATCCTTCCTTTTTTTTTTTTTTTTTTTTTTTTTTTGTCTATTTATTTCAGCGACGAAGGCAATTCAACAAGTCTTGGATGTTTAGGTGAAAGAATCAACCCAGCACTAATAGCCGTAAAGTTCCTTCTTCTTTTTATTATTATTATTTTTATTATTTTTATTTTCTTTGAATTCTGGCGTTTACATTTCTTTCCGGGTCCCGCCCAGGGACCTAAGGTTAGAAAATGGCGTCATGACACTTTCACTGACAAAAAAAAAAAAATTAAATTACATAGATAAAGCCCTTCGTAAGGTGTGGGCTGTACTTGTCAGAACAATTTTTGTATCTCCTTGAGGCATGGACTTCCAGGAATCCCTTCAATTAGTCTACTGCAATCTTTTCCAACCAATCCTAGGGCTCCAACTACAACAGAGATTGTTGATGTTCCCATATACCCACATTTTCGAGATTTCTATTTCCAGGTCCTTGTATTTTGACAACTTTTTGAATATCTTCAAAGATACATTGCAGTCAGCAGGGACTGCCATATCAATAAGGAGGCACCGTTTTTGTTTGTGGTCTTTAATAACAATATCTGGCCGGTTGGCCTTGATTGTTCTGTCAGGGTGTATTGTGTAGTCCCATAGAATTGTAACAGGTCCTATCTACGTAACCGGGTCTGGGTGGTGTTCATACCAGTTTCTTTCAGTTTCCTTCCCGTAAAAGTTGCAGATTTTCCAGTGCAGATATTAGCCCACTCTGTCATGTCGGGTTTTATATTCAGTGGGTGCTAACACCCTGCAACCTGATACAAGATGATCAATTGTTTCTGGTTATTTATCACAGAATCTGCATTTTGGGCTGACACAATATTTTAGTATATGTGCTTGATAATTCCTAGTTAGCAAGCATTGGTCCTGCGCAGCAAGGATATTATTATTATTATTATTATTATTATTATCATCATCATCATCGATTGACGGTTTAGATTCCAAAACAACTTCTTCCATATATGCAACTGTTTGTATTCGGTAGCGAGTCAAATCGACTTCCAGCGTCTCACGTTCTCTTTTGATTCTTTCTTGCAAGGAACTAAATCTACAAATCAACAGAACTAATTGTGGCAATATCTTTTCTTTTTCTTTTTTTTTCTCCCTCTCGTTGTCTTTGTATTTTTACTTCATCATCTATTCTTTCTTTTCTCGTTCCCGATTTCCGCCATTTCTTACGTCTTTCACTGATTCATTTGAACACATGACGTTCATTGTCAACAAACAAACAATTGTGTACGGCGAACAAGGAAAACTGGGGCGCATAGGGTCGGGAGGGATGTGTGTGGGTGAATGGCTGCCGCATGTGAGGTAGATAAAAGTCTGTAAGTGGGGGCATGTGCGTTGGTAGGACAAGCGGAGAGCGTGAGAGTGTTTTTCATGGATTGTTGTGTGTAGGTAGGTAGATTGTTGGTAATCGGGGCAATATATTTACTTCAGATTCGTATGAACAAAGAAAGAAAGATGTGAACTTGCCCGACACAGATACATAGATATGAACAGGCTTAGATAGATAATTTCTAAAAAATATATACTTAGATGTCTAAAAGAGATAGACAGCTGTCTAAGATACGTAGATGTCTGAAATAGATAGAAAAATGTCTAAGATAGACGTCTAAAATAGACTGACGTCTAAAATTGATAGATGCTTAAAAAACTGATATCGAAATATATAGATGTATAAGATAGATGTCTAAAATTGGTATATAGTTCCTTAAAATCTATAGATAGATGTGTAAGATAAATGCCTAAATTTTATAGATAGATAGTTGCATAAGATAGATTGATGTCAAAATAGATAGATAGAGAGAGAGAGAGAGATCAAAATTGTTAGATAGATAGATAGATAGATAGATAGATGCCAATAATGACAAATGTATGAGATAGATAGATAGATAGATAGATAGATAGATAGATAGATAGATAGATAGATGCTAATAATGACAAATATATGAGATAGATAGATAGATAGATAGATAGATAGATAGATAGATAGATAGATAGATAGATAATGTCAAAACTGATAGATGCATAAGATAATGTCAGATAGATGGAAAGATATTAAAATAGATAGATAGATAGATAGATAGATGTCAAAACTGATAGATGCATAAGATAATGTCAGATAGATATTAAAATAGATAGATAGATAGATAGATAGATAGATAGCAAATTTGTTAGATAGATAGATAGATAGATAGATAGATAGATAGATAGATAGATAGATAGATAGGAACACCTATGATGGAGAAATTAACCTGTGCCTCCATGAGACAAATGTCTGTCTGAAAATCGATGAACACAAAATAATTTCCAAAGTATAAAACATTTACGAAATAAACAGACAAGAAATGTTTAAAATTGATTGACAGATAGACAGACATTCATGAGAAGGCCGAGTTGGATTATGGGGAGTGGTGTCGCCTTAAAAATCGCCATCTACCTTGGCTTTCCCACGAGTTCAAACACTGGCTATATATAATGTATTTGCTGCTTTAAATCTTTCTTCTTTCTTTCTTTCTTTTCTTTACTTTTCTTTTCCTTTTCTTTTTCTCTCCTTTGTATTTCTCTGTATGTGTTTTCCTTTTCTTTTCTTTTCCTTGCGTCCTTTTCTCATGTGTAAAGATTTCCTTGCGTCCTTTTATCACCTTCTCTTTCGTTGTTCTCTGACCTTTTCTTTCGTTTATATCATTTACTCTTTCTATTAAAAATCATCAATCTATTTTTTATTTATTTCTTCATTCATCTAATTCTTATAATGTTACTTTTCTTTTTTTCCTTCTTATCAATGTTCTTTCTTTCTTTTTAAATTCTTACCAACTCTTTCTTTTTTCTTTGCAATTTTTTTTTGTTCTTTTCTTTTTTTGTCCTTTTCTTTGTTTTTCTTTCTTTCAAATAATCCAGTTTTTTTTCTCTTTTTTTTTATTTTTCGTTTTATTCGCTAAGTCTCTTTTATTGTTTCTTTCTGTTTTTAGTTATTCTAATTTCTTTTTCGTCTTTCTTTTCTTTTGTTTTCTTTTCATTTTTTTCTTTTCTTTCGTTATCAACAAACGATTTTATTCTTTCTTTTTACTGCTTTTTTTATTTTTCTTTCTTTA